AAAAGAGAAAGGATAAAACACTTAAGCCGATGAAACTCGGTCCCTATACAAAACTCCTCAACATAGAGCCGATATGGTACCGATATGTGGTAATGGCTTTGGGAAACACTGGAGGGAGACAATTTAGGGCATGTTTACTTTCATTTCTGTTTCCTATTTTCGAGAAAACAGGTGAAAACAACATTTTGTTGTTTCCGAAAATAGCAGGAAGTTGCCATTTTCTGTTTTCATAGTTGGAAACGAATAGAAAACAGAATGAAAAGTAAACAAGTTTTCTCATTTCGGTTGCCAAATTTATGGCATGAAAATAGAAAACAGGAAACGAAAATGGAAGTGAACAGGGTAGGATTTCGCTGACAGTGCTTTGAGAAGGTTATGAATTGGTGAGCGATGACGAGGATTTGACAGAGCATATCTGGTATGGATATTCGGTCGCGATCTTGCCAAATGTTGGAAGGGGACGACTTAGGTTGCGTTGACAGTGTTTTGAGATGGGCTGAAAAATGGCGGGAAAAGACAATGATTTGGGCAAATAGGCATAGACGAAAACCCAGTCTATAATAGTTGCAACAGAGAAACCATTTAACACTAGCTTAAAACCTAGTATGCAATAATTGTTATGGTATGGTATGGATATTAAGTCGCGGTCGTGGGAAACGATGGAATGAAACAACTTAGGATTCTGCCTATAGTGTTTTGAGATGAGCTGCAAAATAGTGGGCAAAGGCAATGATTTGGGCAAAAAGTCATAAACGGAAACCCAGTGGTAATAGTTGCAACAGAGATACCACTGAACAATAGCTTAAAACCTAGTAGACAATAATGGTCATGGGAAACACAATGGACAATAGATGTAAACCCAACGAACAATAGCTAAACACAAAGGTTGTAGAATGAGAGAGTGAGGTAAAAGAAGGAACTTGGAACTTCCCTGGTTGCAAGGAGGAGCGTGAGAGCCACTAATGGATAGTAACACCCAATCTTGGCAAATTCATAATCAACCCAACCTGCTAACTACAAAAGCGGATAAAACACACTCACCATACAAAACTCGTCAGTACTATAGATTCAGGTTCAATTGTCTTCCCAACCAAAAGAAAAGAGACATTTAAAAATATTAAAGGCGATTTTAAGTCTCTTTAACCAGGTCAAATCAGGTTGAATTCACATGGATTTGAGTTCAATTGTGATCATGCTCAACCAAAAGGAAAGAGAGAAATAACAAAATACTAAAGTTGATGAAACTCGGTACCGATACAAAACTTGTCAACATCATATGCCGATATGGTATGGATCTTCGGCAGTGGCTTTGGGAAACGGTGGAGGGAGACAACTTTGGATTCCGCCGATAGTGCGGATTGTACAGACCATATCTAGTATGAATATTCAGTTGCGACTGTGACAAACGATGGAAGGGGACAACATAGGTAGTGGCTTTTATATATTAACTGGCAGTTGTATATATTTACCAGGGGCTCTGGATGAGTTAATTGTTGGAGTGTGTTATTTTATCACAAACAATTCATTCTTTGTGGATGTGGTATTTGAGTGTTATTTATATAGCTTGATTTTAAATAACTTGTTTGGTTGAACAGTTATGTGATGTACGTTATTCTATAAGTATAACAAGTAAGGTGAAATATCAATATGACCCTAATAAAAAATCACTCTCTCCCAATTTTAGATGTGCAGAATGTATGTGGATTGATTTTGATTGTTTTTAACCACCCAATCAATGACTCTCGAATTGAGTAATTTTTTTTTGAGTTACATGTTGGATGAAAATCAAACCTGTTATACTTCGAATAATATAAAATGAAAACAAGACATATTTATGTTTTGTGGTTTTCTTAGTATTATCAAAATATTTGGGTTATTTGTGGGGGAAGGGTTGGGTGTTATTTTGGTTTTTTTTTTATATCATGGTTTAATTATGTATTTATTAAGCAATAACAGAAGATTAATTTTTCCTAAACCTAAGTATCTCTATCCCTCTCTTAGCCGAATTCTTCATCTCACTTCCTCATTGACTCTCAACCCAACCGAACCCCTCTTCTTCTTCTTCCCATGATATCACTTCTCCTTAATTGAACCCCCATTTCGTCCCAAATTCTTAATCCAATTCCCAATGTCCTAACCCTATATGAATACACCTAGATTTGTGTTTGTTATAGTGGTATCATAGCAAGATTGGGCATATGAGTTTCCATGTTAAAAGCATAAATGTCATTATCGTAACGATTGCTTCACGAGAACGAGAAGGTTGATGTGAAGGACATCACCAATGTTGAATGATTCAAGGAGGCGATGATTTCTGATAACTCGATATTTGCACACGTTTCTTTCCACCATTCTTATACTGTTTGAGCCTCATTTCTGGTGTTTTAAACCGATTTCACACTAGGGTGTTCTTGTTTGTGATATTTCAGATCCTAGTATGTGAATGAAGGCTTGGGACGAGTTCGGGGTCGATTGGACAAAGTTTGGACAGTTTATGGGAAGAAGAGATAGTCACACGACCTGACCATGTTGTCACACGGCTGTGCAACACCCTTTTGTGCGGTCAAGACGGTATGGGCCGTGCAAGTACCTCTTTTGGCCGTGTGGGATTCTAGCGACTTCACACTCGCTGGCTGGATTTCCACACGACCGTGCAGTTCTGGCCGTGCAGCGCATTACAATTCACTAAATTGAACTATGCGTTTTAGCAAGTTGCACGTGAACGTAAGGATTCCACACGGTCGTGTGGTCATGATTTTCTGAGTTTTAACCCAATTTCGGGTCTTTAAGAGAAGAATCGAATTTTCAGAGCAAAAACAGAGTCATAGAGAGCGAAAGTGCGAAGAGCAAACTCTAGGATCTATTCTGGAGCTGGGTTTTATCAATCAAGCTTGGATTTCATCCTTGCAGTGAAGATTATCATCCTAGAGCTTATCGTACACATCATTATGAGTATGATTCCTCTGATTGTTGTTTTCTACTCTTTCTCTATGGAGTATAACTTTATCTCACTTGGGTATGAAGAACCCTAGTTCCATGTGTTAGGGATTTGAGTTGTAATGAATTTTGGATTGATTTACTCCTATTGATATACTCGTTGGATTTATGCTACAACCTGAGATAGATAGAATCGAATTAGGTTGTTAGAGATCCTTTAATCAATAGGAGTGAATCGATTGTACGAGAGTCGGTCAATTCACTACTTTGTACTGGAATCTGTTTCTAGTAGTGGAGTTCTGCATTAATTGCCTTAGCGTTCTATCCCGGTGAAGACTAGTCGTCTGCCGGGTAGTCTGTCTGAGAGGGCTTGGTCAACTTAAGAGATTCCAAGCTACTGTCGGATCTCCCGCAGTTTAATCAACAGTAAATCAACCAAAGGAAATTACAACTTGGAACTAACTAAGGAGTTAGGTGGACTCAATCCATAGTGAGTTTTCCCTTTCTTAAGAACTTCGAACAACTTACTGCTTTCTTTCTGTTTACTTTGAATTCACCTTAAAAAACTTAGTCCCGCTAGGTAATAGAAGTTCACGGAGTAGGCAGTAGATCTAGACCCCGAGTTGATAATTGAATTTATCACTATTCTGCATTTCCATTATGCGATTACACTTGGTCGCAGTTTGGTGTTGTGTCGTAGCGTGTCAATTTCTATGGTGGAGCACTATATCAAGCTGGATGACATACTATAAGAGGTTTTCACATGTCACAACGCTCAAGGAAACTTCATAGTGAGCTACCAAAGATATGACCGAATCTTAGAAGATGATGTTAGAGATGGTGTTCCAAGTGGTGGGACTAAAGGGTGACAATCGATAGACTGAGGCGACAGGGGGAACCCTCAAAGTTCACCAAAAAAACAGTCACAACGAAGGGAGGATGGTGCATGATGGGGGGGGGGGGGGGGGGGGGGGGGGGGGGGGGGGGGTAGCGGACTAGAGCCTTGGGTATGGTGAACCCCATGTAAGGGGCGATGGGTATCTGGGTTGAAATTCGTAGCATGCATATTACCCACTCTAACTACATTGAAGCTGGTTGCAGAACGTAGGAAGGTGAGGGTGTCGACTGTCGAGTTTCTAACTGACAAACGCGATAGGTGGACTCAGTGGCGGACCCAGGAATTTTTCATAAGGGTGTCCTCTTTTAAAAAATAAATTTAGTAAAAATAAAATAATTAATAAAAATAAAATTGTAAATTAGAAAATACCTTACTCATACAGGTTAAAAAATCCATTATGTGTTTTTATATTCTGAAATAATTGTAGAATACACTTGGTGTCTGTGCTAAAAGAATTGTCTCTATATACTCTTTTAGACAATCACTCACGAACTTATCACATATTCGATTTGTAAACTTGTTCTTGATGTAACCCAAAACTGAAAGAATCTTTCAACACTTGTCGTATAACCATAAAATCAATACAAATTAAGGGTAGGTTGAAATTAGTTGAATTGTTATGTTTTGAAAATAATTAGAAAAAGGGAATGGCATTTTACTATGATACAGTGTTCAAAATCAAACAACAAATGAGTTGTAGTTTAATGGAAAGTTTTTTAATAATAATAGTGCTCTAGGTTTGAATTACCCAACCTATCACTTATATTCCCATACATAAATTTAAAAAATGACATTAGAATAATCATTTTTTTCAAATTTCAGGGGTGTCCCTCACTGCCAGGGTTGAATAATCGTTTCCCCAAACCTCCGTGCGTCCGCCCCTAGGTGGACTAGGCTTGCTCGAGCATTGTGAGAAAGAAAAGTCTTGGTATGACAGAATGGATGGGAAAATTAACATTTTGATGCTGACTAGGCAATGATGTGACACGTTGACCTTTAGTCAACACATTTGACTATCCAAGTTAACAGTTAAATGTCGGGTTTGGCCAATTTAATTATTTTAATATATAATTTGGATCAGAATGTTATAGATCGAAAAAATTGAACACGATGTTTATTTTCTTCAAAATTCAAGCCAGACAAATATATTAAGCCTTAAAATAAATTCATGGCTGCTGCCCAAACTTTTTTTCTTAATTCAATTTTCACTTCCAAGTTGCAGAGCAGGACAGAGCAGGCAGCACCATTCCCACCTACCCCGAGCTTGGATTCTTGGGCCTTCTTTCCATTAAGATCTCCCCATAACAACTATTTTGCACTCCCACTTTACTCTGTCCACTAACCGAGAAGAAGAGGCAGGGACAAAAGCCTCTCTTCTCTTGCCTTTACTTTTCCATGGCGGCCGCCGCAGCCGCATCCTCTGCCTTGCCGGTCCTCCTCCTCTTCCTCCTTCCCCTCTCATTCGCCGCCGGCGCCCGCTCGCCATGCTTCACATCATTCTTCAGCTTCGGCGACTCCATAACTGATACCGGCAACCAGATGCTGTTGGCTCCCGAGGGCAACCTACCTCACTGCTGCTTCCCTCCTTACGGCGAGACCTACTTCGGCCGACCGTCTGGCCGCTGCTCCGACGGCCGTCTCATCGTCGATTTCATCGGTACTCTGTCCTACCCTGCACCCGCAAACACACTTATTTTTGTCTTCTTCTGAATCCAAACTTAATTAATTAGATCATCTTGTGTTTGTTTGTCAGCTGAGCATTTGGGGCTTCCGTTGCTGACGCCGTTCCCGGGGAAGCTTCACAGCAACGATTTCCCGTTGGGGGCCAACTTCGCGGAAGGAGGGGCGACGGCGCTGGACTTCCACTTCCTGGCGGAGAAAGGGATTTATAACACGCACACCAATCTATCGCTGCAGGTAGAGATCGATCGATTCAAGGAATTGCTGGCCACCATCTGTTCATCTCCCTCTGGTAAACTTTCATTCATCTCACTACCTCTTCTCCACCAATCAATGCTCCTCGTTTTTTGTGCCCAGATCCATCAGCTCTGAAGCTCGGATTAATTTTTTTTTTTATTAAATTGGGCTCGATGATTTTTTTTTTTCGGTGAGAGCCACCTGCTCCCTTAACTTTATCGTAAAAACATTTTATAGGTAGTATAAGTATATTATATGAAATGATTACTAGCACTACACTAGCCTTTGATTAATGGGGTTCAACTATAGTTGATTATTATTCGTTCTGTAAGTCGTTACATAAGTTTTATCTAGTAATTTCAATTTCATACAACGAATATCAAAACCGAGTGTGTCATTGTGAAAGTTTTGAGTAACACACATGGTTAAACTGCTGTATAAATTTTACGTTACATGTTTGTATCCTACGCACAATAATTTTAGATTTAACATTGTGGAATTATTGGGACGGTCAATTATCCCATAATTATTTTCTTAATTTTTTCTAAGTGCAATCGGTGTTAATGATCCAACCGGTAAAAGTCACCTATAGCTAACTTAATTAGAATACGGTTTTACCCGTAAAAAAAAAACAATTAGAATACGATCAAAATACAAAAAGCAGAATACGAGAAAGGGGTGATGTAATGTCCCCATCATTGTTTTCCGGCTTTAGGAAACCAAGTTAGAAAAGTATTTCATCACAAAAAGGAGAAAGGTTAGGAAAACAACAACTAGATGGAGGCGGGTACCTACCTTGGTCCAATGAATCTAATTAGAAGAATAGGTTCATTACTTCATTTATGGGTCACATCATTTTCACCCGTCCCTAACATGAAGAAAACAATAAAACGAACAATAAAAGATAAATGACAATTGAGTTTTACGTAGTATATTTGTTCGATATGAACAAGGCTGTGAGTTCGAAAGAGCTCATGACTGATATGTGATTATTAGGGTTTTGGAGAAAACAAGTGAAGAGAGCAGAGAGAGATAGATGGATGAGTAGCTCTCGGTTCTATTCTATACATATAAGGTTCCGATTCAACTAGCATCTCGGAATACAAAAGGAAAAAATACGAAATGATCCAAAAAAAAAAAAAAAAAAAGAAGCGTGACAATAAAGAACATCATGGCTCATGCAGACGTTCAATGTCACGTAACATAACACCATGGTTGTTAAACCTGTGATCCCTACATGAGGCTACAACCAATGGTTGTTAAACTGGATATATGTTTGCCGATATGATTCGGGTCAAACGATCATGAACAGTCAAATTTAGTCAATATCAAGAAAATCAGTGGTCAAACAAGCATGGCTGTTTTATTATTTCTATATAAAATCACGTCATTTTGTTGAATTTAAGTAACAAAATTGTGTATTTAATTTTGAGAAGTTTTTATTTTATTTGTAAAATATTATTTAACATTGATATTGATGGTATTTGTTGGATTCAAATCTAAATATTTAGATTTAACATAAAATATTGTATTTAAATATGAAAAATTGTCATTTTATTTGTAACATTGTATTTTATTTGAAAATGAATGTAGTTAGTAGGAGGATTGTCTTGAAATATGTTGTATGTGTGTAGTTTATTTGCTCTGACTAATTCCTAGTTTTGTTATATATATTTTGTTAAAATCAACATATAGGAATTTTACTTCTTTTAGACCATACAACCTTCTAAAACGCCGTATCCATATAAACAAACTTGCGGGCAACCCTGATAGGCTTAACTGGAGGAGAGAGTGCAGAACATGACATGAAAAAGAGATAATTGTGGGGCGGCAATGCAATGCAATTATGAAAACAATTAATAAACATCCCTATATTATATGTTGATAATGTTGCAGAATGCAAGGACTACCTGAGCAAATCTCTGATTCTGCTGGGAGAGATTGGAGGAATCGACTACAATCGAGCATTCTTTGAAGATGTTGCCAGCGACAAAATCATCGCCATTGTGCCGTACGTCGTTGCCGAGATTGGCAAATCAGTCAAGGTAAACAATAATTCATAATAAAAATTAATCACCTGGTGTTCCTATTATTTGAATGTTGAGTGTTGAAAAATAAAAGTTGGAAATGCATGCAGCAATTGGTTGAGTTAGGGGCGGTAACGATTCTGATCCCTGGGAACCTCCCCATCGGGTGCTGGCCGGGATATCTGACCAAGTTCTGGAGCCCCAATAAGGAAGACTACGACCCATTAAGCGGCTGCCTGGTTTGGTATAACAATTTCGCTCAACACCACAACAAACTCCTCCAACACCAAATTGTTCGTTTGCAGAAACTTTACCCTCACACCAACTTGATCTACGGGGACTACTTTGGCTCCGCCACGCGATTCCACCGACATCCTCAAAAATTTGGTATCATTCTTTGGGCGATCTTTATTTTCTGTTTGAGACATGGACTCCCCTAGCTAGCTAGCAACATTCAGATTATTGACCGTTTTTGGATCTTTAGGGTTTACTGGTTCGGCAGTGGTGGCTTGTTGTGGAGGTGGAGGGCCGTATAACTACAATGAGTCTTTGATTTGTGGGAACCCGGGATCAAAGGCTTGCGCCGAGCCGTCGACCTACGTGAATTGGGACGACCATCATTTCACTGAAGCGGCGTATAGGATAGTGGCTAAGGACGTGTTGGAAGGTCCATTTTCGACTCCTCGATTCAATGCGTCTTGTCTCGTGGGCCGGACTACCGACAGTGGGCGACATTCCTCCTACTAGTTTGTTTTGGGCCCAAAGAGGAAAATTTAATGATGTAGATGCTGCCCATGTGTACGACGTCGAGGGCATGGTTCTAGTGGTGGTTAATCTCTTGGGCTTTTTAATTTTGTTCCGCCCAGTAATTCAATTGGGCCAAGATTGAGTTGGCCATGATTTAGTGTCTAAAATTATGTTGCATTTTTTTATAAAAATAAAATAGAAAAATTATGTTGCACCGTTTGTCATGGTTTCCTAACCGAATGTGTCGATTAGGAAAAGTTATTGATTTATAGTTAGTGATAACTTTTATAGAAACATTGATAGTTACTCTAATGTCCTATAACATAACAAAAATATATAATGCACTAGTTAGGAATGAATTTATCAAACCATAAACAATTTTAAAGCCATATAATTCATCAACAAAAGTCTAACAAATTGTCCAAACTATCTCACAAAAGAAACCATAATCTTTTTATTAAATTCAAGTTAATATTTAGGGTAACAATTCGTTGTGGACCATATTAACCCGACAAGAAGGTTGAAAAACAAAGAAAATGAAGCAAAAATAAAATTAATAATTCAAGTTGGGTAATCTTAGTTGATGTTAAAGTATTTTTATTCTTAAATTTTTTATAGTTTAAATAGTAAACCAACGGACAAGTTAAATAAGAGTGATTCATCTAATTTCATATCAAACCAATAAAAACTGACCAGTCAATCTTTAGAGCTCCAATCAAATAAATCGAACCAATATTATTACTGATTTGGTGGCTTCTACTATTCAAGCCACTAATTTGATTCGGTTATTTAATATTTTTTTTCTCCCTCCCGCTAGTTCATCTCATCTACTCCAAGTCACAATAACCAACAATCTTCCATTGTTATTTATTAGATTGGTAATTTGTGTAGGGTACTCGGTGTTAAATTGATGTCAAATATAGAAATTTGGTATGAGTTCGGTGGCTTGGATCATTTTCGTTAACAGTTTAACCGTATGACTTTTTGAACTTTGTTCAAGATTATTTTGCTCATACCGTGTCTCTGTCCATTCATGTTATGTTGAGTGTCTGACTTTTTGAACTTTGTTGTATGAGTATAAGATGTCAATGTGTTCTGTTTTGTTTGAACTATGTTGTCGTGCGGGCTTGGCCCAAAGCAGACAATATCATACTAATGGAGCAGCCCCATTTGTGACAAGTGGTACCACATCGGAAATACAAGGGAAGGAACCCACTAATATATAAGGGTTCCACCAAGCTCATTAGTACGAGGCCTTTTGGGGACACTAATAGCTAAGGGTTCCACCCTTGTATAACCGATGTGGTACTTGGATTGTACCCTAACTTCGTGTCCTCCCCTCAAGACAAAGACCACGAACTTCGTGTCCTCGCCTCAGTGATTGTCTTTATCCGCCACTCACCTTGTATCGATGGGCTTCTCGCTACAAGGATTTTTCCAGACGCGGAACTCTCTTTGATCCGCCAAACAAACATGGATCTCTCCTAGATCCACCGTCACCGAACGATGGTCCACTGAACTGACGTCCACCACCCAGGATCCGAACCAAGCTCTGATACCACTTGTCGAACTAGGCCGCTCAATTAGTACGATATTGTCTGCTTTAGGCCAAGCCCAGACGGTTTTACACTTGGGTGTCCTCCCCAAAAGGTCTCGTACTAATGAGATGGTGGACACTAATATACAACGGTTCCTTCCCTTGTATTTCTGATGTGGTACTTGGATTGTCACATAATATGTTCGAGTAGGGAAGAATTCTCCGCATTCCAACAACTTTCATCAATTACTTTTAGAGTGGCTTGGATGAGAATTTTTATGAAGAATTTCATCCAAATCTTTCGTTATATTGGATTTCTCCTTATTTACTCACTTGGGAAGCAATAAAAGAGAGATTTTTCATCCGTCAAATTTTGAAAATTCACCAATGCAGGATTCAAAATAGGTTTTGCTTGTTCGGAGAGTTCAAGTGGTTCTTGACCTTCATGATTGCTGTCATTTTTTTGGCATGAAACAACTAGTGCTGAACGTTAGAGGAGAGCTGATTGTAGCACGGCACGCAACACAATTTGATGAATCAGGATGGAGCTTTGAGTGAAGAACAAAAACAATGGTGGAGGTGGGTCTGCAGTGGGCGACGATGAAGGAGTGGCAACCAAGATTCCCGGCTAATCTCTCTGGTGGGGACTCCAGTGGAGATCGTTTCAGCCCTCCTCTTGAAATAGATCACGGAGACTTCCATCAAAAAACCAAAATGTACAAAACCAAAAACCAAATCCCTATAACTCGAAACCAACCAGAAAGAAGAAATAGAATGGAATCAAACGAAATCCACTAACCTCAACAGCTCTCTACTCGTGCCTTCCGTCCAGGAGTTTATTAGGACTGAAATCAACGTCGTCCTGTCCAGATACTTACGAGCTGATCAAGTCCAACCCATTGTTTCTGACGATGATGTTCCAATTGTTGATCTCGGGAAGCTGATCGATGAAGCCACTATGAATTCCGAGGTCTCTAACTTCCACTCTGCTTTTAAAAATTTGAGCTTTTTCGTTTGTCAACTAACAAACAATTATATATACCCATATAAGATTCGATGATATGCCGAACAAAGAAAAGCCAGGTTAATTGCAAGGTTGGTCACTCGAATTATTAAAAACTTTCACGTTTGCTCACTAAAAATATTTAATTACATTCGTGGTGGTAGTTAATTGTCAAAGTTGACCATAAATGTGTGACGTGACAATTAAAAAATAAATTATTTTCTTTAAAATTTTCCACCTCATTATCAAAATTATTAAAAAATAAAAAATGGAAAGTACCCTTTTAATCCTTCCGCCGCTACAACCACCAGGCCCCACCGTCGCGTCCCTAGTCGTGGAGAATCTGAAGGCCGGCAGGAGCGCTTCAAGTTCTGGACATAGCACATCCTACCATCACTCATTTAATTTCCATACATTCATCTTCCAGTTGCCTCCCTCCGCCGTCTCTCTGCAGCCATGGCCTAGCTCGCTTCAACAGTAGTAATTTCCTTGTTCCTTTGCTTGGATATTTTGTATTCACTATTCTACCAGCTTTAATTTGAAGTTAGTTGATTGTATTATAACTTGCTTCTCGTTTGACCTAACCCGCATCACCTTCTCTCGCTACCGCTGCCCTCTCTCCGGAACAAACTAGGGAGAGACAGATCCGGCCAGTCTTTAGCTACTCAAAGGCCAGGGGACGCGGTTGCGGGGTCCTGGTTGTTGCAGCGGTGGCAACCGACAAATATTTAACAAATTACTATATATTTTTCATTTTTGTATAATTTTGATAATGAGGTGGAAATTTAACGGAGAGTGAGCATTGGTGAAACGAATATATAAAATTAGTGACCACGAGTGGAATTAAATATTTGTAGTGACCAAATTTGAACGTTTTTAGTAATTTGAATGACCAACCTTGCAATTAACCCATGAAAAGCCCAAAGCCAATTTTCCTTGGTCGTTTCATCGCCACCACCTGCATCTATTTTGTCCGCCATTTGACCCCGAGAATCGTCTTTGATTTCTGACTAATCTCTCTCTGGTGGGGACTCGAGTGGAGATCATTTGCTGCCCTCCTCTGGAAATAGATCATGGATGCATCCATCAAACAACCCAAATTTATAGAGCCAAAAACCAAATCTCTCTAACTCGAAACCAACCAGAAACGAAGAAGCGGAATGGAATAAAAAGCAATCCACCAGCCTTGACAGCTCTCTGTTCGTGCCATCCCGTCCAGATACTTATACCCTGATTAAGTCCTTCCCATTGTTTCTGACGATGATGTTTCAATTGTTGATTGATGAAGCCTCTAAGGATTCTGAGCTCGCCATCCTCTACGCCGCCTGTAAAAATCGGGGCTTTTTCCTCCACCACTTCAAATCACCTCTCCCTCCCTTTAACAGAGAGCCATGAAGATGATGATGATTCTCCTGCAACAAAGAATTGTTTAGCAGCAGCAGTAAAAGAGAAATGCTCTGCTCTGGAACTGAAGAACAAGACGAAGAAGGAAGAGCAGAGCGATACGGCAGCGTTCAAGACAAGAAGGAATGAACGAAACAATAAGGCGATGTTGAAGATTATTGAGGACCAAAGACGCTGCGTTTTACCAACGGATGGCTGTTCATGATTTACTGTATATGCTTACACGTGTATGGCTCAGATAGGTAGATTTGGTTGTTAGTTTTATTTAGCCGTTAACCAACAGTGATTAGAGAACACTCTGTATATATATTTGATTCTGCATCAATGGAAAAGCTCAGTGAGCAAATTCCCCAGATCTGATTTTCTTCTCATGGTATCAGAGCCTGGTTGCTCTCAACCACTCTAGGGTTTCGTCCCCTATTCTTCTCACCTTTCTTCTTCCTCAATCTGGTGAAAACAAACTAAAGAAATCATGGCTGGAGAAACACAATCATCTACTAGGAAATCTACCCAAAGTGCAGCTAGCTCTACCTATGAAGACCCTTATCTCAATCCCTATTACCTGCCGCCTCAAGATGGTGCACTGTCCACCATAATTTCTGTGAAGCTCGTTGATGGGAACTACCACACATGGAGCCAGGTTATGCAGGTTGCTTTGGCTACCAAGAACAAGGTTGCCTTCATAGATGGCCCCATTCCTGTACCCCAGGTAACAGACGCCTCTTATCAGTCATGGCTGCATTGTAACGAGACTATTCGTTGCTGGATTTACAATTCCTTAGCAGAAGACATAGCGAATAGTGTCATGGGTTTGGAGAGTGCTCAGGCTATTTGGGAAAATCTGAAAAACAGATTTAGCCAGGAAGACAATATTAGGGTTTATGATTTGAAGGGTCAGTTGGCTAAATGTGTTCAAGGAGAGCAATCTGTTAGTTAGTACTTCACCAACATTACAGAGTGTTGTGAGAGGAGTTGAAGAGGTATCGTCCGATACCTTGTTGTACCTGCAATACCCCATATGAATCTACGAAGAGGTATCAGGACAACGATTTTGTCATTAAATTTATGCAAGGATTGAATGAGATGTACCAATCTGCTAAGACTCAGGTGCTTATGAACTCAACATTACCCTCAATTGATGTTGTTTTCAAGCAAATCCTGCAACTAGAGCGACAAATGAAGAGTGCTCCTAAGGCTAAAGGGGTTGATTGAGTTGCATTAGCAGTTGGTATACAACAGAATGCCAGTGCTAACAACAGAGATTACAAGG